TGGTAAACAGTACACGTATATGCGCGGGGGAGAACTCCTGCATCACCTCCCCAAAAAACTAACCTAATCCATCTATTGAAATATAGTAAACCGTACACGTATATATACAACCTATCCTTTACATTTTTATACATAATGAAAAACAATATAAGAATACAAATGCAGTTACTGCTTGCCATATTTTTTGCATATAATGTACGTTGAAAAGTAAATATTTACCCACTATATTTATTCTTATCTCGTACATCCCATATCTCGTGCTAATATACCGGGAAAAATATTTTCTATCAACGAGTTTTCATTTAGAAATTAATACTTCGATTTTAAGAGGTATTTTGCGATACATGATTAAAATTATATGATTATAACCACATAGTGAAATAATTATAATCAAGACACTCGGTTTGTAATATGAGCATAGTGCTATTAATAAAGATTTCGTATGCACAGCGTTATTAATTAGAACAACAACGAAGACTAGTCGGTGAGGAAAATAACCGCGATTTGCAATGAGATCAACTTATGCGTTTGGAATAATAATCAACATTTCTTTTTCCCGTAGCATTTTCTGCAAGTAACATTGAACGCAACAGGCCGACCGAACCCAGTTTCCTCGTGAATAATTGTTGACGTTGGGAGGCACGTAACACGGCAAAAGAGACAATATTGTTTCGTAAGCAAAGCGTGTGATCGTGACTCATTGTCGGCAAAAGACAAATAACAATAAAAATCAGAAATTTCGCCGCAAATACATTCGTGGCGCAACGCATCGCGGTCGACGTCGATTCTACGTCGATGGGGAAAACGGGAAGGCAGAAAGCACGAGAGGGAAAGCGACGTGTCGCTCTAGGAGAATGAAAAATCAGCGACGAGAAGAAGACACCAGCGATGGCAACGACGACGACGACGACCGACCAACTTGTCCCTCGGCCGAAGGTTGCGCGCCTCTGCATCGCGAATGCACCAGCACCCCGCCACCCTTAGCTGCACCCGCCCTCGCGACCGCGATCCCGAGATCCTCGCGCTGTCTCGCCGACCGCGATTAGCGCCTGGCTTACGAATGCGTGCGTGTGTGCGTGCATGCATACATGCATGCATACATGCGTAAGCGCGTTCAACCGGTTGGAGAGTTTCGAAGTTTCTCCGATTTGGCCGGAAAATATCACACGGAAAAAGCGACGAAGACGATGCCGTACCAGGAGAGCGCCGGCTGCTCCGATCGATCCGCGACACCACTACTGCCATGCCCCCGTGGTCCACGGCGTGGGCCAGCACTCCGCGGTCCACCCAGTCGATAAGCGACGGGAAGAGACACGAGGTGAATTCTGCGCCGATGGCGTTCTACTTCGCTGCCTCTGGATTATATAGCGTGTTTCAGAACAACGTTCAGAGCTCTCATGAAAGCATAGTACGGATTTAGGTGAACGTAAAAGTCTTATGCTACTTCACATTATCCGCAATAATTGTCGAGATATTAATTAAAAAAGATTTGTGAATGATTACGCGAGATGAGCTGTAGTGGCGACATCTGCCATCGTGTGCTTGTACATTAGGTCAAACTGAACAAAAAAGTCCTCTACTTGTTTCCTAATAGTTTTGTAGATTTTTAGTTTTTTTTTTTTAATTAAATAATATTTAATAATATTTAATTAATGTTATCTCGCGAGCGACTATCCGCCAATCTTCTTTAAATAATAATAAAAATCTATAAAGTTATTAGGAAGATGATGAAAGACTTTTTTGTTCAGTCTTAAGGGGATGCTGAAGCTAAAAACTTTATCGATAGAACACTGACATTTTTCTGCAAAGTTTACGTTGTATTGGTTACACCAAATTGCAAATGCTTTTACGCAATGAAAGTACGTGCAAAAATAAATAGGAGCATTGCTCGATATGTGACGAAAACGAACAAAAAATTTTTAATGTAAAATTTCAAGCTGTCAGTTAGCGTAATATTTGCCTAACCAAAAAGTTCCGCAGCTTGTACATATCGAAAGTGTAGATGCTCCAAACAGAAAAATTTTGAAGAACATTGCTCTACCTTCGCATCTGCATTTGGAAGCTTAAGAATATCGAAAAAGTTTGCAGAAAGATTTCTATATATATATGGTTAAGTTTTCCGTTGAATATGGTAAAACAAAGCAACACACATAAACAAAATTTTAAACCAGCTTAAAATTCATAATAACCGAATAAATCACCGAATTATTACCGATTATTCGATCATCATTATTTCTTTGTTATCCACTCGCGGATATTATCACACGATTGTCGAGCAGATATTATTATCACTATCATTTAATATTCAAGTATTATTACTTCTTTATTCAGTTATTATTTAATTATTGCTACTACACATAGGAAAGCAATTCAGGCTTGCCATTACAATTTCTTTACCTCGTGTTTCATCAGTTATTATCGCCGTTGTCCAGTTATGGTTATTCATTTTTATTACCGATTATTCGATCATCGTTATTCTGTTATTATGCATTCCCGAATATTATCACACGATTATCGAACAGATATTATTACTAACATTTAATATTCTATATATATATATATATATATATATATATATATATATATATATATATA